AGAAGGGAATGAAAATACCATTAGTAAGAACAATCCTTACAAATATGGGACATGTTCAACACTGGAAAGAAAATATGATTGTGATATCCTGATGACACAGGTTCTCTCTGTCTTTTCATCTGGATTGTGCAAAAATTAAGAATCACAGGTGGTGATACTTGTCTCAGAGAGTGGTCAGCTGTAAAGTTAACACAGAGCAAAGAATTCCCAGGGTTTGATGTGTACAACTTCAGCATTTTGGTTCTGGTTAATCGACAACCCTTATCTTTTTTAATATCTAGGAAAAGGATATGTGCTTTCTCTTTCAAAGTTCTGCTTAATAGATGTCTTTTAGTTCTTATGTCCTATCTTCACAGTTTGTTCTCTGGATATACTTATTGTCTTATATGCTTGAATTTAAATACAGTAAAAAAAAATGTTGTTCTATTAATAAGCACCCTTGACTCAAAATCAAATAACTGCAAAATTGCAGAAAATCCCCAGACCTCCAAGTCTCTCTCCTTCATTGGTTTTGTATTACAGCTGGAGTCACAAAACAGAAGCTCCTGTTGCCTAACAAGTCTAACATCATATGTCCGATGTTGTCAAGAAATAAAAACTGAATCTCCTTAGCTATCTAGACAGAATATTTACTGAGCAAATTCTGACATTAAGTACCTGTTTCTGAGTATGGGTAAGATTCTTTCACGAGCAGAGGCCAGTTTTAACCTGTTTTTCCAGGCTACTGAACTAGCTCCTCATCCAGCTGTAAATGAAGGCATCCTTCTGACCTCAATGTATTTGACTGTTTACCTTTGTATGCCTGTAGAAAACTTACCTTGAGTTAATGTAAACTGGAGGTCCATGCCTACTTAAAAAAGGAACAAATTTTGCTTGTGACAAATTAGAAAGAAAGCATTTTATGTTTGTACTGGCATCCCTTGGAAAACAAAAGAAGGTTTGCATTTACTCTCTGTCCTTTTTTGCTGCATGAGGTGTCTTTGCCCTGATAGTGTCAAGAAATTAGAATACTGTCTTCCAGACAGCTTCTTTCACATTTGCCATCCAAAACTTGGGGAACTAAAGATGCTTTTAAAAAAGAATAATGTAAGGAATGACATTAATGAATTGATTTCTCAATGTAAAAAAAACATTTCCCATCAAGACACTTATTAGAATGTTTATCTCGGAGAAAATGTGCACAGTTTATATGAAAAGCTGATGTTATGTTAATTTCCATTATTATATACAGATGATATTGAGGAAGATGGAACAAAGTGCCTTTAAACCAAAGCTGATGATATTTTTTTTTCTTGTTTGCTACAGTTTTATTGTAGTGAAATATGTTCATTTTAGCAGTGGAAAACTGCCCTAAATAGACAGCATAAGAGCAATAAGATGCAGAGCACAATTTTAAAATGATGTGCTCTGAAAGTAAGGCTTTTAGACATTTTGGTTTATGTATTAAAACTTCCCACAAATTTGATTGAGAATGAGCCTTTGATGGATATTTGCTGCAGTTATGCTGCATTAGACTCGATTTATCCACCACCTCTCATTGTTGCTATTGATTGATTTTTAAATTAGATGAAGGCAATCAGTAAATACCACCCAATCAAGTCCTAAAAACATACAGGAGATTAGACAATTTAGGGTAATCAATGAAAATATTCTGTGATTTGCTACCACTCAATTTTGACCATAAATTACGACCATAACTTGCAAGTTAGTAAGCCATAAAACAAGTGGATGTGACAAGAAAAACTATAAGAAATGAATTAAGGAGATGAAGAGGAACCACTAGTGTTGTCATTTAATGAGACAAAATTACTCTTTACACATATCTTGCATTTCTGGTTGAGTCTTGCTAACAGTAGTGGAGTACAGGAGCACTAACCTTTGCTCATTTTTCTAGGGTTTTTGGGGTTTTTTAGTAATATAAAAGCCGTTCTTTCGTGTACCAAAACAGTTTGAACAATAACTAATCTACATAATTTTATTGCAGCAAATAAATTAATGTAATTTTAGGTTTAAAACTAGCTGCTTGCTAAAACCCCTCACCTACATCACAGACACTTGCAAACACTAATTTCAAAGTCACACTTCTATACAGTGTTATATCCTACAAACTTTAAAGTGTAGCAACAATTTAATGTTATTTTAGGTCAACACTTTGAAGAAGCTGTGCTTATACACATTCTCTGTGATACATGTCACCCATTTTCTATATTCTCACAACAGTCTAATTGAGAACTAATAATTCACATGCCTTAAAAAAATCTGCTTTAAAGCTTATTTACCAGTTGTAAATAGGTGTCCAGGTTTTTTTCTATTTATGAACTTAAGTATCTATTTGGAGTTTCTAGGCAGAATCCAGTATTTCTAGGCTGAAAAGCTGCTTATAAATACATAAACAATCATTAACAGCTACAGGCTATATAAGAATAAATTGGTGAAATAAAGCAACTATTTATCAAATTTGCTCCCTTAAAAAAAGTAGTACAGATGTGATACTGCTGAGTAGCATGCAAAAGTCTTCCTGGTTAATGCCTTTATGATCCTCCTTAGAATAAGGAAGAACATTTGGAAAAGGATAATTTTTGGGAGTGTTGATCATAGAAAAGGATTATATAAGGTGCTTTTGACAAGAGGAAAATTCATATGCTTTTTTCTACAGGGAACAGAAATCTGAGAGGCCTGGAAACTGCACAGTACACCTGGAAAGGTGATGAGAATGTAACACAGGACAGCATGGGAGGAGGAAAGAACACCTTCTCTGCACTCACAGTCACTGAAATACCAGAGTGCCTGATGACAGAGCAGTTATTTTGCTGGCACACAAATGCAAAATGCACAGGTGGAATAAATATTGAAAATATGTGGATTTATGTTGACTGTGATTTCCCATTGCAGTGGAGAAAGCAAAAACCCCAGAGTCAAAAGGAGCATTAGTGATGTTGCAAACAAAAGATTAGTCAGCAAATACTGACTCTGCATCCGCAGGTGGACTCTGTGTGAGATAATCCAGAATTAGAACATTGTGAGGATTTCATGCAGAGATTCCAAACACTTGTTGTAGTAGACAAATGCCTGGCACTAGTGTACCAAAAAAAAAAAAAAGGGGTAGTTCTTAACTGGTTCTTTTTTAAAAGTCATCTCCTTTAGCCTAGGGCTTTAGGAATCAGGATTCACTTTTCTGTGCAAGTGTGTGGAACAGCAGAACAGAACAAGTCCATGTAAGTCGTGGCCCCCTTACGAAAACATGTTTTACTGTGTCAAAAGCACTTCCCACCTGAATTCTGAATTTAACATTAGAAAAGTGTCCAAGTCTGGTCTTTCAGATTTTCTGTGCTGTTTAGTACATCCATCTAACGCATTTGAGTCTGAAGAAGAACTAAGTGAATCCCTAGGAAAATACAAAACCTACACCTACATTGCTAAATACTTTTTAAAAAAAAATATAATTGAAATGGTCTTTTCATTAACTCCTGCATTTTAGCAGTTTCTACAGGCTTATAAGATTTTAAGAAAGAAGTCAACTCAGTGCTAATAATACTTTTTCTTCCTTCCATGTCAATTTGGTTCTAGAGGAAACTTCTGCATATTACATCATTGGCATAATTTCTGACAAGTGTGTATAATGAGATTGGAAGACAAACAGTTCTCAAAAATAATATTTCTACCTCTGTAGGTAACAGGTTTTTTCTGAAATTTGAGACTTTTACTTTAATTTGAAATCTCCTTTGAAAATGCATTTCCAACTTTCTAAAAGATTTTGGATGTGATTGAACCTTTGGTGGAAATTTGCAAGATACACAGCTAAATTGTGAAGGCAGGAAATGAAACAGCTCAGAATCTGAATGAACTCTGGAGCATTTACATTCTCATATTTAAATATTTGCCTGAATTACATGTGAGCTATAACTTTTCACTCACTGCAATTTTTTGCATTCTCTCTAATTAACAGTACTAAGACAAATCAATGTTTACATATTTTAATATATCAACATATCGTGTTCAATCTCCTGTTTCTGTGAGTTAAAAACATACAACACAAAACCCCAATAACCTCTAGAAAGGAGGACAGGAAAGGGAGAGAATAGAGAAAACCACTGACTTAAAACAAAGACAGGGACCTACTTGCAGCTCCTGATGGACTGGTGCAATACAATGAAGCTGGTGTATTCAATATAACTTTTAGAATAATTGCCTGGGAGGTAACCAGAAAAGTACATTTTACTTTATCATGGTACATAAATAAAAGGGCAGACTAATTAATCATATAGCTTACTAAAAGTGCTTTTTATTTTGCCATTTAGTATGCCAGAAAGATCATTTTCTTTAATGTATATACCCAGTATTAACATGATTTAATCCATCATGTTCTGTATTATGAAATTACTTTGTTTTACTCCCTGATCCAGCTGAAGATCATTAACCCACACTATTTTCTAAGTCATACATCATTTGAGTGTATTACCTCATATAGCAAAAAAGCTACTTCTCTTGGTTATACACTGCAACTAAGAAATCATTTTTTCTGGATGTTGCTGACAAGTAGAGCTGTTTTCATTAGAAAGCAGATGGTTCACTATTTCGATTCTGTTTTACCTTCCCATTTGCTCCAGCTCAGAGTTCTTTGCTGCCAGTCACCTCATTACCTCTTGCAACATCCACATCCTATATTCCAGACCTGTGTATAAAATGTGCTAAACATGCAAGTACTTTGCCTTCCCCCAAGACCTCCCTTTTTCACTCTGCATCCTCACTTGTTGTAAGTCAGTCTTCAGGAAGCAGTGAAAGCGAAGGCAATCATCTGAACAGGAGGTTAAACCCCCACAGTTTGCAGGTGTCTGTTAGCTGAGAGTGCCAAAGGTGTCATTTTCACCTTCAGATTTTAAGCTTGGATGTGAAGTCACACTGCTGGTGAATTTGCCTCATAGAGCTTTAGGGCAGAATCTGGCCTTCTATGATTTCTTGCAGTTATGATGTTCATGATATTTTCACTGTTGTGTTCTCAGAGTCTGTATCATGAATGTTCTGCTTGGGCTGCCCTGATACCCTGGTAAGTGTCAATAAATAGTGGTCTGCAATGTAAATGAAATGTCTGCATAATGGAGTAATGGGTCATTTTGAGTCAAAATGAAGACTGGATAGTTACTGAAGATATGTCTTGGACTTTTTAGAATAAAAAAGAATAAATGATGTTTTGAAATAGTTGCACTTCAAGTAACAGAAGTAACACCTGCTAAGTTTCAGACTGATTTCAGTTATCTCTAAGCATTTGCCTTGAGAAGTAGACTCTCATTCTAGTAAGGCAAGGAGACTAAATGCTTTCATTGCTTATATGGGAAGCCACATACTAGAGATTAAATCCTTAGAGGTGAATCCATCAGTACATAACTTCAGTTCTTCTACAGCATATATGTTTTTGTTTTGATCATTCTATACTGTAGATAATACTCAGACATTGTAATAATATATTCTACCTGCTTTGTGTAGTTTTCTCTGGTTTGTACATAGTCACAAACTCCATTTTTATTATTGTTTCAGGAAGTTTTGGGGGGGGGAGTTTCCATTTTTTTTCTTTTTCTTTTTGCACATGCTTCATAACTCATGCCAAATTTACCATTTATTATTACCTCTTACACTTGCCATATGTAAAGATGTTATCTTCTTTATTCAGAGTGAAAACTAATAAGATCTTGGCAGAAATAAGGGTAGAGTATTGGGATGGGTATTTGATTTTATTAATTTGAAGGACAACCTGTTCGCCGATCTTAAACTGTATCACAGGTGGGATGTGATTTAAAACAATTATTCTTGTAGAATTTTCACTGGAATTGAAGGAAGAGTAAAGGCCTCTAATGAACATGCTTATAAAATTCAAAGAAAAGATCATAGATTTGGAACTGTTCCAAGCATATATGAACCTGTTTAGTTATGTTTAGTTATAGTTTAATAATCCACTGTACAAAGAGTTTTGAAGGAGTTGGGGGGAAAACATAAATCTACAATGTTAACAAAGCCAAAGCTGAAGGTCAGCCTGCAGTTAATAACCATGCTCAGTGATATTATTTTAATGATGCCACAATATTTAAGCTACTGAACTTGACACTGTAAGTAGCTATACATGTTGCACAGAGTGAAGAAGTGTACAATTGGTTGGGCTTGACTTTCACATGTCTGTTCATAGTGTCCATGGATTCTGGTCTACTCTCAGTCAAATGTAGCCTCAGCATCCAGGCTGAATAAACCTCACCTGAACAAACCTCACAGCCATAATTCAGCTGCAAATAAAGCAGGGCAAAAATAGTAGATGCAGGTGCTGCTGCTTACACATTGTGAGCCAGAAACTGAAAAAGTAAAGCATAACACAGATTATCTTCTGCAGAAGGAGCTGGGTGCAGCTGTCCCTGGGGCTTCAGAGGCAATGCCTGTAAACAGTAAAGTCTCTGTTGTAGGACTTTAAGCTCCTCTTGTTTGTGTGGACCAGATTGCCAAAGTGATGAGAAAAGACAAGACTCCACAATCTTCTGGAGGGACTGCATTAGCCCACACTGAAGTATGTGCAGCTCCAGCTGCAGTGCCAGAAGTCACCTAAGTGTCCAGTTTAAAGGTGGCCTGGGCATGTGTGTGCAGCCTGGAGTGTAGCCCAGTCCATAAACAGGCTCACAGGCCATTGCTCTGCAGGCAGCTCAGGCTCTGGCTTTGCATAGCTGTAGAGGTGAGTGCTGTGAGTGGCATTAAGTGCCCTCTGTCCAAAAGATTTCTGTGCCAATACCAGGTTCTCCAGGGCGACTTCCCAGCTATGATAGTGACTGTTAAATGGAGTTACCCTAAGCTTCTCTAGATACCATAATCTGCTCTCCCAGCTATCAGTGTATCACAGGTGTGTTGGTAACTGTCATTTTCTGACAGTGATGCCCAAACGATTTCGGAATTTGCCTCCAGAATGCTGAGACAAAAGATGGTCTCTTTGGTTTGTGGCTTTGAGTGCTCCACAGAATGGGATTTAGCACTGATGTCATGTAAGCCAATTTTTTTTTCTGCTCTACCAAATTCCAATTTCTGCAACTACCAAATTCCATAGACAAAAATAATTATCAAAACTGAAAAAGGATATGGCAATAACAAAAAAAAAGTAATACTGTGAACTGTTGGTATGAAGCTTTGTTTTCAGTATAAATAATTTAGTGGGGTTTACTTCAGCGATTGTGAACTTAATATGCACAGAACTTCCCTCAATTTTTCTTGCCTTGATTTTGTCCCTACCTGAATGCTAGCAGTATAATCACATAACATAAATTATACAGTATCAAACCCTGGTTAAATAATTCCAGGCAAAACAAACGAGAAGCCATGGAAAATTATGGCATAAGATCTTGACAAACCAAAATAGACAGTGAAGTACAGAAGGTGTCATTCTAGGATTCGTGTGTTTGTGCATGTGCACTGACACTCCTGATGTTCCTATAAAACACATGGAGAAATTCTGTCTGGTATTCTATGGGAAAAATTTATGTAGACTCTTCAAAATTATATCAAAAGCAGTTAAAAATGCAAACTTAAAAAGTGATATAAGATAGCAATTTATTTATAAAAATGTCCTTTGCATTTTTGAACACTGTTTAACTTCCATGCATGTTTTGCTGTTTTCAAATAACAAATTGACCTTTCCAAATTCATAATGAGGTATGAAATAAATGAGAGAGTACTGAAGGTGAGTAATTCATTAATCATAAGCAAAACAGGGATGAAATCAAGGACACAGGAGCACAAACTGTAAAAGTAATAGGTTGCATAATCATGGTATTTAATATTAACTACATTATGTTTTTCATGTGGGTTCTGAGAAGCTGGTTTTTTATGTTTACATGAAACTAATCCAAGGTAAATTTTATTTCCCAATATTATTTTTCCTAGTGGTTACTCTCTTTTTAATAAACTAGAAGATAACGAATTATAGCTTGTCACACTGTTATGAAGATTTAATAGAGGGGTTAGCAGGAACATTTAAGCCTACTGAAACTTTTGATTTAAGGTATTCCACTTTTGACTAGAATGTACCAAATCATGTAGCTATATCCCCTTCTTGTTTGTCATGGCAAATCTCCCATTATGGACATAAATTCACCTGGAATTGCTTGTTTTGGCCAAAATAAATTGTTATTCATATTCCTCTGTCAGAGAAGGACAGAGAAAGAACTATTAGTTGAACAGTTCTGGGTCTTTATCCTTCAAGACTTCAATCCACAGTGATTACACAATGTGCCACAAGGTAGTTCACAGTTTACAGGTGATGTATTTAAATAGTTAATACTGTTGGATATAATAAAAATAATTTGTTCCCCCATGTCAGATTTCAAGAATATTTATTCTCAAGAACAAACCAGGTTAGAATATGACAAGGTGAACTGGTGGCACAGCAAGGAGTCAATCAGAATCCCTGAACAGATGATGCTTTTCCCTGTTCCATCCACTTTCATTTGGATGGAGCTGGTATTGATGCTGCTCTTACTTGTTATTTTGTAATTTGCTGGACTGAGAAGGAGAAAGAGGAGAAAAGTGCAGAGTGAGAGCTATGCCATAACTTGCCATTGTACCACTGTGTTTTATGGTCCCCAGTATGATACACATTCACACCCTGGTCAGCTTTGTGTGTCTGTAACTCTGTGTAGACAGGCAGTGATGGGGGTGAGAAGCCTTCCTGTGAGTCCAGTGCTGAAACCCCAGCCCAGCTCACAGTGGGGCCTCGTGCCCCTCCCTAGGGAGCACATGGAGGCTCTGGGCAGCTCTCTGTTCCCATGCAGCATGGGTGACACTGGGGTTTGTGCTGGCCTTGGTGGTCCATACGAGTTTGTCTTTCCTGCAGACAAAAGGTGGAGTTACCAGCAGATCACTCCTCACCTCAGTCCTGTTGGTGGTCACAGGAGACAGTACTCTGTGTCCAGGCTTGTGAACTTGCTTGTGTGCACTGAAACCAAGCTGCAGGTGCACTGATGTGCCCTGGGATCTTGTCCATCTGTGAACTTGGGGTGCAGTCTGTGTTTGCACCAGTCTGGAAAAAATGTTCCTGGGTCCTGCAGTCAGTTGGACTCATGTTGGAGTTCTGATGCAGGAGCTGCACTTGAACCGCTTATTGGTGCCTGAGTTGTCCTCCCACACGGGGTCTCTGTGCCTGGCACCCCTCAGTGTGGCACAGCCCCCCTGGGAGATGCTGTACCCCACAACAGAAAGGCTGTGTCACCCGTGGGCCAGAGCAGCTGTGCTGCAAGTGCTGTGACTTGGGATCTGACTCAGAGCAGTCTTTGCTCACACTCTTTTTAACTATAATTAATGCATGTTGTTTTGGTGCATATAAATGTCTGACTAGGCAATTGCCTATGTTTTGACCATAAAACAGGCATTTTTAGGTCTGTTTAATAGTGTTTAATATTTAGATAAAAATCATGATTTCTCAGTATTTCCATTCATAATTTTTGCAACTTGAAGCCAAGTTCTGTCTGCAATTCTGTATTCTGAGGGAAAAAAAGTAGCTGTTGATTAAAGGTATGTACTCTATCACAGTCATATGTTTTCCATAACCCTTGATGAAGAAAGTATCTTCATTTTTAAAACTCCCATTTAACTAATTTCCTATTTTTTCTGCTTCAACATTTCTACATTTTATAAATTATATTCATGTTAGATTCACACTGTGCTTAAGGTGTTTCTTCCTTATGTGAGAAAGTATATATAAGCTGCAAGGTGTTAAAGCCAATAATTGTTAGTGATGTTTTTCTTTCTAAAGAAATATAAAGGACACGATGTTCCATGAATAGACTGGTATATTATTAAGTCTGAGGAATTTGCCCAGATCTCTTAAAATCATACATTCCACTCCTGTGTAAGTGGAGAGATCCTCTTAATATATTTACCTTCATTTTAGATGCAGGTGGTTTAAATGTGATGCTCTGGTTTAGATTCCAGAGCAAATAGGTTACCTATGATATTATCATTCCCAGAAATATATTGCCAAGCACTGCCTTTCTCAAGCAATATGGTTAAAGGGTTCACTCTGTCCCCAGTGGTCCTCTGCTTGAATGCTTTTCCCAAGCTCCAGATCAATCTTTAACTCCTCACTTTTAAATTAAGGTGAAATACTGTGGAGAAGAAAGGGAACATAAATACTTCCAAAATCCAAGCAAATAGGTTTTCTCACTCTTCCTTCCCCCTCCTAAGCAAGCTATGAAAGCCCATGAAGTATTCTCTGTGCTGGACCCAAGTATTTTCAAATTTTTTGAACCAGTTTCTAATGTTTCAGCAGAATATATTTTTTTCCCAGACACCTTCTAATGCTGTTACAGAGTCTTCAACTCAGTATCAGAAACATTTTGCTATGGGCATGAGGAGTCTGTCACTTTAGAAAATTCCGAAAAATATCAGTAGCATATCAGAAGAATTTTCCTCTTGTAGGTAGCCTGCCCTGTTCTTTGCATGGTATCTTGCATGGGCTTCCTCTGTACCTCGAACAATCCAACTCTGCAGAGCTTCTGTTTTTCTGCTTTCAGAAGCTGTTCTGGCAACAGATGGATGGTAACTTTCTGTTCAAAAGTTAAAAGGTGAAAGGAGTTTGGCTTCTGGGGGGACTTGAACTTGTTTATGTCTTCAGCATATTTGAAATTTCTGTTAAAATATTTACCAGTGTATTCATGAAACATGAACAGTTGAAGGAATGTGTTTTAAGCTAATGCCCTCTCCCAGGTTAATGATTAATACTGTGAGAACTCAGCTTGGCATTTACTGTATCATGACACAAGTAAATTGAACTCTAAGCAAGCCATTATCTATTTTATTTATTTGCTTTTTAAAGTATGCCATGTCAAATTATTAACTTCTTGGGTAGAAGGGTGGTAAAAACATGGGTCTGGCAGTCCCCATGGAGCCTTGTGGGACTCATTTATTCACACTCTGTGTGGTTCTTATAGGAGAAGGCTTTCTGTTTCCAATGCAAAATCTAGATCTTTAAACACATTTTACAAAAATATTCATTTCTGTCTTAATTACTGTATTAAAAAAAACCATTGCATTCTCTGTCTGTCACTTGTTATGATAGTAAACTGCACCTTCTGTTCTCTGCATATATACAGTGCTATTTATTTCCTGTGGGAATGAATTTTTAAATTATTTTAAGCAGAGAAGGACTAGAGGTTCTCCATATCTTAGGTACTAAGAAACTTCAAGGTCAATTTTGACTCATGCTGAGATTTTTCAAATAGTTTTGTTTTCATTTAAGCTTTATGTATGTTCAATTTTTAATTTCGTTCTGCTCCTTCTCTTTATCATCTTTGAACAAAAGTTTATGTAGAAATTGAAAGGGCATTTTACTATATGATAATAATTTAAGTAATTCAGTCATCAATAGTAACTATTCAATATTTCTCCCTTAGAAAACAGATGGAGTTATAAAACTGATACAGGTAAAGTAGAGGTCAGTAGAGAAAGAGATTTAGTAAAGCACGTTTTGAAATTTGGGAAATTTATTTTCTATGTTTCTGACTTAAATGACTCATAAAAAGTAGTTTGAAAAATGGCCTAACTGCTCATTTGAGTTTTTGGACTGTGCTAATGGAAACAAAGAAAAAATTTTGCTCATTCTCAGTATTTAAAAAAGTCAAAATAGCAAGTAGAGAATATGCTGTAAAAGGATGTAATCATCAGGAGAAAAGATGACTTGAAAATTTGGCCATTGTTGAATGTCTTTGAAATTCTAATTTGTGTCAACAAACACGCCTAATTCAAAATCAGCTTTCAATGGACCAACTAAGGGCACTTTACTCATTTATTTCCCTGCCAGATTTTGATATTATCACAAACATGTCAACACTCTGGCTATTAAAAAAATCAAAATTTTCAACCTTCCTAATTCTGTAGGAAGAGTGTTTTATTTCACTAGAAAAACAGATATTTTGCTTGGAATGGAAATATTACTTTTCAGGAAAGACTGCCTGGAAAATTCTGCCTGAAATGTGAAAGCTTCAGAAAGTTACAAAACCCTAAAATTTTTAGAATTTAGATTAGAAGAAAAATACTTGGACAGTATTAACTATCCTATTGCTAAACCTGTAACTAGACCTCCCTTGTCTGCAAAGACTTTAAGGTTCTAATTCCATTTTGCAATTCCCAATTTGTTCATGGTAAACCAGCCACAGTTTAAAGGCTCAAAGGTGTTTCACCTAATTTTTCTTATATCTCCAGATAGTGCATGGCCAAGTTATTTAGATACAAATAAGCCTTGAGAATATCATCAAATCCATTCTAATTTCATTCATGCCTTGGAGATAATAATTTAAAGAGCTAGTCACTGCTTGCAATTAAGCATGGAGAAAATAGATCCGTCCCATAATTTATGTCTGCAAAGGTTGGGCTGGATTTGTAATTAATGTTTGCTCCTTTTAATGAAATACTCCAAAGGTCTGCACTTCTGTCATTCATGGAGGTAATTTTTCAATTGATTAGTAAAATAATACTTGAAAAGTAAATGCACCTGCTTTAGCACAGAAATGTCTTAGTCAAGTAGAGACAATGATTGGAGTGCTAAAAAAATATCATTTCAATACAGTAGAGACTGGAGTTTTACTCCTCCAGAATTCAGAACTCCCACTAAAGAGAAAAAAGAGAAAAGGTAATTAAACCTCCAACAACTTCTTCAGCATGATTTTATCCAGTTTAATTCCTGAGTGGTTTTCAGCATAGCTAAATACTTTTAGGAACACATGCCTGAACTGTGCATTTGTACAAGTGAAATATGTCTGGAAAGCATATGTTACATCAAGACATAATTTTTGTATTTGTGTACCTTAGAATTTTGAGGGGGCATGAACAAATAATTTAAAATTGGAAATTTGTTTCTGTTTGGAATAAACACTTAGAATTTGACAGCTCATTTGGATTCTATTCTTATTTCCATTTCAGATTTAAACCTGTTCAAGCAGGCAAAATGGCAAGACTTGGGAGGTAGGTTTAAAATGGCTTGTTATGTCCTTCCTACAAAACAACCACTATCAAAGAAAATTAAATAAAATAACAAGCCACTTCTGACTGTTTTCAGGGAATTGATAAGGATTTAGTTTGAATTAATCCCTCCAGAAGGCATGTTCAATGACTTCTCCTGCTTTGTTAATTTAGTCATTTTGACACAAAGTCTTACTATTCCTCTACTACAGACACCTCACATTTTGGAGCAGTGAGCACCGTGGGAATTGACTGTAAGTTGATTAGACAGAATGCAGAGCAGAAGCCACAACCTATGCCAGATTTCTTGGGGGCCACAAACAAGGTGATCCAAGAGGTTTTGAACCCTGTGTCATCTGGGACAAGCATTTTGCTTTCAGAGAAAGAAGCATGAGAAGTGAATAAATGTGGTGAAAGAAACCCTTATCCGGTGCTCAGCCCAGTGAAGCAGAGTAATCCAGACAGTGGAGCAAGAGAGTGTGTGTCATCAGAACATTTAACTTTGAGGATAAAAGTTTATAGTTTTAATGCTATGGTTTTAAGTGTTTGAATCATCTGAAGGATCCAGCTATTATTAAAGCATGAGCAAAGCAGCATCTAAGGACTTTTAAAAATCTGCACCTTGAACTTAGTATAACTCCCATTAAAGTCAATGCATGCTGAGTCAGACTTTAATTCTTTTTGCACCCTAGAGATTCAAAAGGTGAAAATCCTGGCACTACTGATGTTTTGCCATTGACCTTGTAGGGTCAGGATTTCATGCTAAAAGCCATAAAATGACACTGACATTTCGTCATTGCTGTCTTGGATCAGATTCATAACAGTGACCCAGGAGAGAAACATCTACATAATCCATTACTACTGTGCATCTACCCAACACTGTCTCACCACCTTGTTTAAAGAGAGGGAATAATCTATGATTCTGAGCTGCCTTTATTTTAGCTCAGATGAAGAAGAATGGAAAAATCCTGATATTCATTTTTCAATCACTTTATTTAAACGTTCTAAGTAAATTCTTGGTTATTTTATATTTTATGTCAATTTAATTGGAAAATTCTCTTTTCAAAATGAAGGAGGTTTTGTTGGGTAGTTTTGGTAATTTTTTCAATACTATTCTAAAATAGGTTTGTAGTAAAACCGGAAGGCAAATTTCAGATTTATAGTCCCTTGTGAATGAAGTTCTTATGATTAACAGCGAGAACTGTGAAGAGTTTTTATAATTCCTTAATGATCCTTAACGAAATATTTAATTAAAGACCAGCTGGAAAGATATTCTTGGTTAATAAAAGGAAATCAGGGGATGAATTGATTTCTATAATGGCAGAGGACATGCAATATGTGATAGATGCTACATATCATTAGTAGTTAGATACAATAAACTGATAAAATATAAAATTATCCTGCTGGCCCCTATTAAATTGTTTTCCAGATTGAAAATGCAAAATATTGGCTGTGCATTCCAGATGATAAAAGTAATAGATTCCAAACTCATGGATACAAGTATACTGAAAAATGCAATTTAAACCTTCTGCAGGAAATAGTCCTATGTATAACGTGGCTACTGATTTTCAGGTTTTTGATGCTGTAGAAGAATATGAACCAAAATGTGTTGCCAGTTAGAGTGAAAAATAAAATCTGAAACAACTCTACTGAATTCAGTGGAGTTCCTTGAATTTGCTGAAATGGATAAGCTTTCCCCTTGCTGTTCTGTGCATATTTCTCTAAAAACACAGAGATGAACCAATGAAAATCACATTCACAGAAACAGAGAATCACTGAAAAAGAAAACCTTTCTCATCTTATTAAAGAAGAAATGAAGCTCAGCAAAAATTAAGTGAATTTTAATTGCATGAGGCTTTGCCTCAGATTTGTAGGATCACTTGATGTTGTAATTTCTTGGCTATTCTAGATAAGCAAATACAAGAAGATTTGTCATCTCTGTCCTTTCTGCTAGTCTCTATTGCCCTACATTGCAACTTTTACGTGGTTTTAACTTTGCAAAAAGAATTATCTAATTCATCACATACTAATTAGTTATATAATTTAACAGCTTTTTTGGTTATAAGCTGCGTATTTTCCTTCTGTGCTGCACACAACTGACAGTGAAGGATATTGAAAACATATACATAAATTTGTCAACTGCGATCTCACAATAACTAGATGACAAGAAAAAAAATCATGCTTTTGGTAAAGCCCATCTAGGACAAATTGTACAGGAAATTTCTCCCAGCTGCTGCTTGTTATGCACTGGGACAACTGCAGCCAATGTAATACTGTGGAAGCAGGTCTGAAACCCAGGAAAAGATCTGTGAAAATACAAACCTGTAAGAGAAAGTATCCAATGATGGAGGCAACTGCAGTAGAGTTAAAGCAGTCCTATTAAATAATGAGCAGTAATAGGTGACTGTCTGCTCTAAGTCACCCTTTAAAGCATCTACTACCTGCTGCAGGCTACAGGATTAATTCTGAAACATGTAATTTAGCAAAGGATCAAGACTTCAGTCTGTTCAGTCTTCAGCAGCAAATAAATTGGTGGCAAATGCTTTGGCATAGGTTGTTGCATTACTTTGTGGCAGTCCCTGCATCCAGTGCTTTCAATTATAATTCTGGTTTCTTCCTTTTGACAAAGCTTGGTCCTCTGTGTTCCTCAACTCGGCTTATTTTATTAATTGCAACTTTGCAAATTTTTAATGTCTGTTTCTTCTTTCTAGGCTCATCTTCAAATACATGTATTTTTGAACCCCACATTTTCAGAGGTAAGAAATTCTCTCTGTGAACTGTCTGGTCAGGGGAATAACTTGTCCTTGTTGTTTAAAGTCTGCATCTTTGCTTTAAAATTCATCCATTTTGCTAATTATAGCCATACATGCAGTTACCCAGTTTATGCTGCAGCTCTGCTAGTTAAGGTACTCAGCTTCTTGTGTAATTTTAAGATGTATTTCCAAAGCTACAAAGCTTTGAAGAGCAACCCCTCACTGCATCTTCTGCATCACTAAAATTGGAAAGCAAATCACCTGCTGCCACTACTATTTTTAGTAACATTCAACTGAGAACAATGTGTAGCTCAAAGCAGGGGTAGAGACTCTGGAAGCATAAGCAGAAGGTGTCACTGAGACAGAACTGTTATTCTGCAAAAGGCTGTGTCACCCAAATGAACCAAATATTCTGCAGAGCTACAACAGACAGGTATCAGAGTAAAGCCAAACAAGGTACAGGGGGCAAAGTGTTTCAAGTTCTCAGTTCTGAGCATAAGCATTTTAATATAATTTCTATTTAAAAATGTTCAGTTATGATATTCCCTATTAGCTTGGTTTTTATAACTTTCATCCCAGTGATAGGCTTGCTACCCTACTAGAATCAATGGGTTTGCATGTGTTTAAGAACAGGCATAGCTTGAACTGCAGTTGATCTACTTATTAAAGCAGTAGAGGTTTACATGTTTCATTAGAAATCATAAATCCTGCCTGTGAGTTTTGTGCAAACTTTGTTTATCCTTCATTAAAACTTTTCTCTGTTAAGTAACTGCAGATACTGAGACATTAGGTGTACTCATATTACTCAATTTTGTTTCTCTGACCTCCTTCTGAAGGAGTCTACAGAGACTAATTTAAAAACCTCCCTTATATTCCTAGGGGAAAGTGGTGTGAACATTCCTGTTTGTGTCAAGCAGCACTCAGAGTGCATATACTGACTTTATTGGAGTTACTTGGGCTTTCCACCACTCAGTGAGACCTTGGTGTCCTATGAGTTTTATGTAGTTGAACATCCAAGTCAGGAGTGATATAAAGTTTTTCAGGAATGTGTATTTAAACATAGGTTAATAATAAGATTTAAAATGTTTGTTTTCCTCTTAGCATCAATGAAAGCATATATTTATATGCTGAGCTCTTGAAAATTAATTTCCTGGACTTCTCTAGGGATATAAGGATTGTGTACAATGCACGGTTTTTCCTTGTATTATTTATGAACAGAGGGGTATAATCTGGTAGCAACTCCCTTTGTGCACAATTTTTTAAGCTCTTGAAGTCACTTTAGTTGCACTGAACTTTGAGATGAGAACGAAGCCCTCTTTCTCTTTATTGAGAGTTTTTCTTAGAATGTGAAACATGTTTACTTCCAGAATACCATGTAAATTTTCTTAAAGAGGTGCTTTGCAAATAAGCTATTATGGTACTAAAGAAAACATTGATTAGTTCTAAATGGCAGTAACAATTCAAGTGCATGTAAAGACAAGTGCATTTTCTTTCCAAGTTAAGCCTCTGAATTTAATAATTGAAGGAAAAAATACAATAAGGTGCAATAGAAGAAGCTTCTGTGAAGTGCATTATGCAATTATGAGTGCCATAACTACAATTGCCTTACCACATCATAGTATGTTTTCTACTCAGACTGTCTTTTAAACCAAAATATTTTTATTACTTTGTTATTTGGAAATATGTACTATTTGGAAAAGGTTGTATTTTCTGTGATGATTCTGTTGATTTAGGAAACCACTCTTGGTTGAGGAAATCCAAAAACTCAAGACACCATTCAAGTGAATACAGAATCCAGCTGAAGCAATCTGTTTATTTTTAGTCTTGTCAACATTGTTTTATCATGTGAAAACTCTGTTTTTAGGGGATTTCTTTCCCAGTTCCCTCAAATCATTACATATTGCTTAGCATACGCAAGACCAGAATTATTAGAAGACAGATTTTGGCTGTTTATTGTGCTACTTGACTTGGAGAATTGCATAAGTCATTAACTTTCTAGACCAGAGCCTGATTGTACCATTCACAGAACCTGTGTGCTGGAAAGAAGCTGTGTGATGGCTGTGTTTACATAGTCAAATTTGTTGCAAAAAGGAATACTATAACCTCTTCTTCATCACATAAAACAGGCCAAGAAGTAGGACTACAATTATAGTAGCAAAGATTTAGATTGGACTTAAGAAAACCCACAAAACAACCCAACTTTTATAATGGTAAGATAATAAAGCACTGAAATATATAGCCTGGGAAATTTAGAAGTCTCTGTCTTTGGAAATCTGCAGGAGCAGGTTAAACAACAGCTGTCTGAAATGATACAGATACACTTGTCCCAACTCTCAATGTTTATTTCTATTATTCAAACAAAACTTCTGTATTTCATATCAGGGTTTGGATTACAGAGTTTGGTCCATTTTGTTTTGGCTTTATCCAGCTTCATGAGTAACCAGCAGTTACATGACTTATATAATATGTAACTGTGAAAATATAAATGACACATTGGGAGATAGCAAACATATGTTATATTTCAAACCATATACTCATGGATACATTTCTGGCTTTCTGTTCACTTTACTTTTTGTGTATGCATATACATTATTTTTGCATGACTTGTGCATACTTTGTTCTTTGTTTATGTGTTTAAACTGATGTTAAACACAAGATACAAATAGCAGTTTGTGTGTAATATTACTTTTTTTTTACATTTACTTCCCCACTTAATCCTAGCAGCTCATGGAATTTCTTACAATTATTAAAGGGAAAGCAAGTATTCAGAAAGTAGATATATTGAGGGGTGGGAGTGAGACAGATGAATAAGGAGATAAGCAGGAAAAGAAAAGATATAAGAAAAAATGTAAAGGATAGGGAGGATGAATTTAAAGCAGTGAATTATGACCCAAATTAGGATTCTAGGGACTGAAATTCAATTTTGCATCTTGAAAATGGAAGAAGCAACAGAAGACTCAGCCTGGATGACAGAGGAAGTACATGTATTAACCAAGAGGTTGTACTGGATGAAACTCAAAACTATAATGAGGAAAGGTGGTGGGAAGGTCTTTGGCTAATGAAACAGTTTATCTGCTGGTGGAAATAAAAGTCTGCTCCATAGTTCGGGGATTTTGATGTAGTTCCAATAAGAAGCACATTTTAATTGTGATTAAGCTAAGGTTCCTTCATATGAAAGAAATATTGTGGTTGAAGTGTAAAAGTAAAGTATAAATGTTAAGAATAACTTTTCACAAAGAAAGATTTCCAAGAGTTCCTTTTTGTTCCTTATTAAAAATGTGGGGCGTAGGTTAGGAGAGAGTGGTAGAGTTTGACACAGCCTTTTAGTGAAGGTGCATCTTGGTTGCTCAAATCACAGCTATAACCCCTCTGTGTGTTGCAGCTCTTCATATTTCATATCAAATTTTCTGTAGTCACTTGATGTGTTTTCCGTGGATGCTGCTATGTGCATACAGATATGTACACGCTCATTTACAGTGATTTCTGATCTAGCATAGTTTTGTACAGACCTCCAGCTCAACAGCATTAAAGATGATAAATGAATGTATAAATCTAAGGGGAATGTACTAAAGTTAATAGTGAGGGTGGGTTTTTTTGCATAAAATAACTATGGTTTCCAACATTTTTCAAAGAGGTTCCTTCTCAGCTTAATGTGTGCTGATAAAGATCTATTCTATACAACATTTCCTTCTTATCTCATCACCCCATATCTGCAGTTTTTCCTTATGTCTATTCCTTTTAAAATCCAATTTTCTAGTTATACTAGTATTTATTAAAAGCTTGACTGTGGGGTCTTTGTTTATCCAAAGATCTATTTTTATCATAACTGTTTGTAATGATTAAACCTCAACAACTTAAACACTTTACACAAAATAATGTATTTTCAATAAATTGAAATATTAACCAATCATATGTAATGGTTCAGTTCTAGCAAATGGATTGCTAGAAATCCTTAGGGTTTCATATAAATTGAAAACTGTATTGACTGACCAGGCTGCACTCGAATTACATTGCATTTGGATCAAAAAGCATAGAAAAAGTTCTCATTATAGTTCCCTGACATTAATTTGAGCATTTTTATATGTGTGTCCTATTAAGTACTTTAAGTGCTTTTTGATAATTGTGCTTTGTAGTTTTTACAGCACTTCAGCCTATTCCCAGTTCAATTTCCTCTTTTATCCGATGTTTGAAATATTGATTTCTGACAGATAAAAGCAAACCTTATAATCTCAGCAGCATGCAATAAGTGAGTAAGACGGGGCTGCAGAATGCATCAGGGAATGGTCATATTTGAAACCGTCTTTGTTTTATTACATTTCGTCAACAGAATTTACTTACCGCTTGCTGATATTTATGTAAAAGCAGGACTCCTGATAGTCCAGTGATATTACCAGTTCCTGGTATACTTTTGCATTTAGTAAGATAAAAGAAGAAACTCCCTTGGTGGTTGATGATTGCAGCTGCTTAAACTGCTGTCAGCTGGCTTGAAGTAACTGTGATTTATCTTCCTCAGATTGTGCAGCATTGTGTCCGTGAACTTCCAGAGTTTGCATTAAAAAGTGACAGAACATCAGAGTGCCAGAAGCTTCTCATATTGTGGCCCTGAAGGTAAAAGCAAAAGCAACTCTGCTTGTTCTATGTTTGGGGAACACTGTCCAAACCCTCTGCAAAACTCTCGTGACATGAAAGAGATCTTAAAGAAATGGGTTGGGATTTTGAACATGGACTAAATACAATTAAGAGATGCTAAGGAATATAGACTTGGTGCTTTGTCTTGCATGTTTTCATGATGTTTCTTCTGCAATTTCTAAAAACTTGAAAGAGGAATTCCGTTCAATCCAATTTCTAGTTGATTAGTTAATGATATGTTAGGAATTCAGTTTGCCTTTTTTTTTCCTTTTTCTTATCCTGTACAATCCAGTGTCTCACAAGTAACATTGTATTAAACATCTCTAGTCAGCTCCATTAACACCTGCAGTAAAAGAGCAGAATATACAGGAAATTAGCTGCTTCATTTCTGGCAGTATTTCCTTTGAATCTGTGAAAATTTAGATCAGAATACTGTTTTAGAAGGTGAGAAAAGTTCCTCAGGTTACACAGTAGCTTTGGCAATCAATAGTAAACCTATCAAAGTGAGAACACAAGCCTCCATCCTGAACACCAGGTTAGGAGCAAACTGAGTGTCTTTTGAGAAATACACTTTTGAGAGGGATCAATTTACCTGAGAATAGAAGCAGGTGAAATAAATGAATGGGGGATATGATTTTTAATAATTTAGACATTTCTGAGATGAACATTGAGATTTTACTTAATCCCAAATTAGCAATTGCTAATTCAGTCACATGTTTTCGTGTTCAATCCTGGAAAAACTTGAAACAACCACCTCATATCTAGACCTTCACACACTTGATTATAGAATTGTTTTCATACTTAGGACATTTAAAAATGTTATATGAGTGAATTTTAATTATTATGATGGACTAGAACTCTGCCAGTCACTTAGCAGTTAAAGTTTAATCTCCAGTCAATTGAAATTTTTGTTACTAACCAATTAGCATTTAAAATTTTAAGTGATAAGTATTTAACTGCATTCTGGACATAGTGGGTTGGTGATAGAAAAGCCTGGCAGGGTTCTGGGGAATGGTAGGTCTGGAAAAGTGATTTGGTTAAGGCTATCAGGGAGAAAAGAGCTTCTGAGCCCTACAAGCTTTGATCATAACTTATAAATAAAGGCCGATGGAGCTGAGCTTGCTCAGTAGCAGAACGTGCTAGAGATGGTGCCTGTAAGGAAGGGAAAACAGTGGAGTAATTAGGAAGGCGTGGTTGTCTAGGAGTTAATATGGTCAGAGCTAGAGGTCTAAACACAGGGATCAAGGTGCAAGGCCCAGTCAGCCCTCTCTCCATCTGGGCTTGGCTGCTGACATCAAGGTGTGCCAAGACATTTACATACCAACGTGTAAGCAGAGGCAGAAAATGCTGTGGCTGATAGAAAATGAAGACTGACTGGAGCTAAACTTTGCAGCAAGGTTACCTCGGTGATGATTTGACAGTTGGGAAGCTTGGACCAGCAAAACCACAGAACTGAAATAATTCAAGATTTGTCAATAAGGAAAAAGACAAAGACACTGTTGGTTGAATTATATGTATATTATATGTATATTTACCTTGAATATTCAAGTAAAAATCTATAAGCCCCCAAAACAGCAAAATAATCTCTCTTTATGTTTTGGAACGTGCTGGCTGCACCCAACCCAAATTTCTGTGTCTCAGCAGACCAACTCAGAGATATGTGTACATGTGCAGGTTACATTCCTGTACATTCCACATATGCAGGTAAAGCATCAGCAGCAAGGATTCTGCAGTGGGTGATATAACTGTAGACAATCTCCATTAGAATTTCAAAGGAGCTATTTAGCATTTTTCATATTGGGTAGGTTATTTACAGTTCACTATTTAAAAGGAAAAAACATTGAGAAAGGTTTATCTTCTAATAAATCAAGAGTATTATGACGTCAAGTCACAAAGCCTAAGGGTATGAAGGCAGTTGCAGAAGCTGCCTCTTGCAAAATATTATGTATACTATATTATACTGGCTAGCTGAATTAAAAGTGCTTCTGTGAAGAATTAGAAACAATTAGAAATGAAAAAATACAATGTGGAAAAAATAGGACTGACAATTTTGTTGTTGAGATTCTTGTGGGAATCAAGCTGGAAAACAAGCCATTGAATACACCAACTGATATTTTCTAATGGTCTGTTTGAATTTGACGTTATATAATGTTGTATGCATGTGCATTCCAGTATTATAGCTGACAGAACTATCCTAATGTTTTTATCTGTGAAATTTCATTTTAAAATCTCAGTGTTTCAACTGATAGCATTGAACGCATCCAACTAATGCTGTTAAAACTATGAAGTGTTTGGAACAGTTTCAGAAGACCAAACTACATATAGTTTGACCCTAACTTTGTATATGGGAAGGATTATATTGGCCTCAACCATCTAATTCTAAACTCTGGGACTCCAGTAGGCTGCTTGAGGACTTAGTGCTCTATGTGTATATTTGCAAGTATTTTTAATATTTCTTCATAAAAGGCAAACTGGTAATATTAGAATATGTTTATATAATTAAAAAGTAACTTATCTACTTCGTAAAAACAGTGTAGACTGAATTCCTTTTTTACCTCGGTCTTTCCACCTTCCTCTTTCTCTTTATTCTCTTTGATGTCTGCAGCTGTTGTCTGACAAATAAGGCCAGCAGCTGCCTGCAGTGCTACTGTTTTACCAGCTGCTAAAGGTCTGCCTTCACCAGGCACCGGGTCCTCTCCCGGCCCGTGGTGCAGGGAGTGTTTGTCAGCCTGGTGGCACACACAGCCTCCAGCTGACAATTCAGTCTTGTCACGAGCTCTCAGCCTGCAAGTACTCGGAGCTCGTGTGCTCGTGTTGATTTCCTTGTTAAACAAAGTGTCCAAAGTGTCAGAAGAATGAATTCAAGCACGTTACACTACATAACCAAATGACAATATTTCTCTCATTTTAGCTCCTTAATATCATCTTCAGCTGAGTGGGAAAGAGCGCAGATTGCACGACCCTGGGGAACTTTGTTTCAACATTTATTATTGGGAAAAGTATGCCTTTCAAAAGATAAAATGTATTTCAAATATCAAATCTCTCCCTGTGCTGAGCTAAATGCTGCCTTGATGTATGCACTGTACACTCTAAGTTGACAGATGTGAAGTACAAGTAAGAGCAGAATTCGACCAGCTAAATTTAACATAATAAGATTACGAATACTACAAGGGCAAAGGATTTTCTAAACATTAAATGCTACAGTGTGCCTGAATTCTGTTTTCAGATTTAGTCCTAGATAGTCTGGTTGTGGGGCTGCACAGTGACAAACCAGCAAAGTATCTCTATTTTGAGGTAGGGATCTTAAATGTGCAGTGTTTAGAGTGACAGCTACTCATTGATGTACTGGGAGGATTTTATCTAAGTTTACCCTAATATTTAAGCCTTTTTTTCCCCCTTCCTTTCTCAAATAATTAGAAAACATTCTTATCTCAGAATATATTCTGGAAAGTGTTTGATTTGCTTGAATTATTTAAAGTTATAATACGAGGGTTTTTTTCTGAATTCTGGGGAGGTTTTATTGTTGTTAATAAAACCTGTTTTTAATAGTGTTTGCAAATGCGGAGCACATGGTTCAACCGAAACTTTTGCCTGTGACTGGGGCAAGGTTTTATCATAGTGACCCACTGTCATGGCCTTGTCTTTACTGCTCTTACCATAGAACAATCACAGAAGGAATTGCCACACGAGATCTTGTACACCAACATTTTTTCAGCAGCTAAATGTAACAAAATAAATTCGTATTTCTGTGCAAAACAGCCACTCACACGGGAGCAGATAGGGAATATTCCAGTGATATAGGCTCCTAACAAGCTTTTCTCAATTTCACCAGTAGTGGAATGTCCAAAAAAAAAAAACCAAAAAACAAAACAGATAGTAGCCTGGTAGTTAGTGCTTAGCAAGGTGAAATCTCAGGATTCAATAAAAACAAATTTTTTGGAAAGGTTGTAGTGTTTAGCTTTCAGTTATCACTGGTTAACAGAGTACATTCTCAAATAATGGGTTATTCTTAACTTTTGGGTTCACCTTCCCTTGCAAATGATTTGTGGGAAAACGTAATTCAGTGGGTAGTTTCATCAATATTTTGTAAAAGGCCTAGAAAAGCACATCAACACAAATATGCCCAAACATGACAGTGGTGGTCCAGGCAGTCACCTGAGAAAGAGAAATGCAGACTGAGCATGTTATACCAGAGCAAGAAATGGAACTATGGTTGTTTCCATTACCAGTCAAATGAGCAAATTATTGGGATGGTGGATCCTTTGAGTAGTCATCCCTCATAATCTTTTCCAAACATTCCATTCTCATTTAAATAAAAAACTGACTTTCCAAAGCCTTTTCTGTCAAGCTTTAATTACTTAGTTCATTGTTCAAATTATTCTTTTTGTATACTGCAGTTGCAAAGTAATATGTAGCATACGGACAAAAATGTCTCCCCTATAATGATCTTCACTGTAACCATGCACTACTGGGGCAGGCATATGTGCATCCAAGAGGTTAAATTTAAAATTTATTTGCAAGTACCACAATTTCAGTGGTATTTGACCACTTATTTAAAGAGTAAATGTGGCTTTTAAATTGTTCTCTTGAAACAAACCTTGCTGATGTTGGGATTTGGGGAGATATTTTACTGAAATGGATTATTTTTTAAAGAGATAGTTTGGGGAGGGTGTGTATGTATGGTTTTTTGTTGTTTTGTGTTTGGCTGGTTGGGTGGTTTGGTTTGTTTTTTTTGTTGTGGCAAAGATAAATCTGAAGTTTAGTAAAGCTGTTATTACTAAGGAGAGAAATAAACCAGCTACAACTTCATTCCTTGAATTAATCAGATCTTTCTGGAAGATTGCACAAGCTGACTGAAGGAGACCATCCACATTTCCCCTTTCCCAGTGATCGCATTAGCTCAGCCTGCATGGCCTCTCTGCCAGGTTCCCACAGGACTTCTGATTTCTGACTTGACTTCTTTCCTGACTACTGCCCTA